GGTCAATATTACAAATGAGAGTGAAATTAAAACTTTCTCATTTTGCAAATGGGATAACAGACACTCCATGAAACTAAATGATTTATCTTAGAGTTACAGCACCAATATCTCAGAATCATATTTGTATCATCTTGGTTCTCTTTTTACTACAACACACCACTCTTTTATTTTTTAACTTTTTAATTAATAGTCATTTTACAATGTTGTGTCAAATTACAACACAATACTCTTGAATATGAGTGATTGACATTAAATAGGGGACTGAAAATTCATGTACACAAAGATTAGAGTTTAATAAGAAGGAAGACCTGCAAGGTCACCCAGTCTTAACTACCTGAGTGCTCATGGCAGTATTCAGAAGGGAAATGTGAGCTTATGTTCATTTCCAAATCAAAAATAAGATGAACATTTTCAAAATATAAATGTTACCATATCCCCAAATTCAAAAGGTGTTTCAAATTTAGGTTACGTGCCTTAGACAGATTAGAAGAAAGCAATTTGTTAGAAACAGATGAAAGAACCTTCATGGAAGATGAGGGAGGTGAGACTCTTGGCTAGATGTGTGAATTAAATGATTTGTTTTGTTTCTCTGGACTTCAATGTAAATGAATGGACTATCATATTGAAATAAGATGATCAGAATTTGTGCATTTCAATTTCTTTAGGTATATATGCCAATTAGTAGTAAGTACACATTTTTCTATTTTTAACTATTCCAATTATTCATTTGTTTTGAGTTAGAAATAAATATTGTTGGTCCTTCTTATGTTTTTTTTTCCAGGTAATTTAAGTGCCTTTTGGGAACATTGCCTGCCAGACGAATTCCATGGAAAAAATAAACAATGTAACTGACTTTGTTTTCTGGGGTCTTTCTCAGAATCCAGAGATTGAAGAAGTTTGTTTTGTGGTGTTTTCTTTCTTCTACACTGTCATTCTTCTGGGAAACCTCCTCATCATATTGACAGTTTACGTGGGACATCTTTTCAAGTCTCCTATGTATTTATTTCTCAACTACTTGTCTTTTGTGGACATATGTTATTCTTCAGTCACAGCTCCAAAGATGATTGTTGACCTATTAGCCAAGAGCAAAATTATCTCCTATATGGGGTGCATGTTGCAACTCTTTGGGGGATATTTCTTTGGTTGCACTGAGATCTTCATCCTTACTGTGATGGCCTATGATCATTATGTGGCTATCTGTAAACCTTTACACTATATGACCATCATGGACTGGGACAGATGCAATAAAATGTTGCTGGGGTGCTGGATAGGTGGGTTCACACACTCCATTATCCAAGTGGCTCTGGTAGTTCAACTACCATTTTGTGGACCCAATGAGATTGATCACTACTTTTGCAATGTTCACCTTGTGCTGAAACTTGCCTGCACTGACACATATGTGGTTGGTGTTGTTGTGACAGCCAATAGTGATACCATCACTCTGGGGAGCTCTGTCATCTTGTTAATCTCCTATACTGTCATCCTGGTGTCCCTGAGAAAGCAGTCAGCTGAAGGCATGTGCAAAGCTCTCTCTACCTGTGGCTCCCACTTCGCCATGGTCATCAACTTTTTTGGTCCCTGTACTTTCATGTATATGCACCCTGATAATACCTTTTCAGAGGATAAGATGGTGGCTGTGTTTTACACCATTATCACCCCCATGTTAAATCCCCTGATTTATACACTGAGAAATGCAAAAGTAAAAAATGCAATGAAAAAACTGTGGAGCAGGAGGGTTTTATGGGAGGCTAATGCTAAACAGAAGTAGAAATTTAAGGTGGATGATCTTAAATTTTCCATTCTGCACAGTGAAAACAATAACAACTTCACAGGTTTTTTTTTTCCTTTAAGGAACAGATGAGAGAATAAAACATTCTACAGAATTATGTTATGATTTATCATTATTATTACCGTTGTTCTAATTCTTCATAATCAGATGATTTTTCTGAAATATCTAGGACAAAGAAATCTTATTAAACTCAAATTTCAGGATGATCATACTTAGCATGACAATTTCCTCCTTGCCCTTTTTCCTTTTTGTCATTTTCTTTAAAGAATGAGAGTCTACTGTGAAGTACCTAAGGCTGTTTTACGGTGTTTAGAACTGTGAGCACTTGATACAAGTAGTTTGTATGAATGAAAGGATACAGAAACAGTGGCAAGGATCTGAGCTAAGGCATCCTGATGTAAGTTCTCCAAAACAGTGAAAGCAGCCTCATCTGGTTGGAATGGGGATACAGGGAAGGTATGTGCAGAATCTCAAAGAGATGAAACACAGGCTTAGAAAACAAAAGGCCTGTTCTCATCCTCTGGGCTTGGGGAAAAGTTCTTGCTTTTTCTAGGACTCATTTTCTTTACCAGAATGATAACTAAATTGGAAAAACAAATACCTCTAGTATCCCATTTTAACTGTAGCATTCCATTAATGTGCTTCTGCTGACCGACTCTCACCTTTAGTTGCCATCTGTAGCTAGCACTCTTTATGTATGTAAAGCACTTATAAGAAAAGCTGGAGAAACTCAATAAAAAACAAAGACATCTTTGATGAATACACAATTGTGTCTCAATCAACAGGGTCAATATTTGAACCAGCCAGCTTTACTGAAAATAGTGAGCCATTTACCACTGCTCAGCTAACATAACCTGATTTCCAGCTGTGGATCCACATTTACTCTGGAGAAATAAACATGCATTTCTTAAGTGAAGTTGTAACAGAGGAGAACAAATCCTATTTCATATTGAATCTATTACTTTAGCTCTAACTTTTGTGCTCAGTTCCCTGTGCTTAGGCAAGCTGGCTCCACACCTTTTGTAAGAGACTGTTGCCAATACCCTGAAATACAGAGGATAGCCCATTCTCAAGGCTCTGGTCTTTAAAGGTATAATACTTTTCCATTCATATAGAAATAAGTTGCAAACATTTGTCTTACTGGATGTTCATAGGAAGATTGTGACTGGACCTACCAGGACAGCTGGAAGAACAAAGGATTCCAGCACCAAGAAGTCTGCAACAACCAGCCACACCCACCCCTTTTTTAGTACAACTTTGATAAGATGGTTCTTTGGGATACTAGTCCACTATCTTCTCAATCTGCTGAATTTACAAATAAAGCCACTATTCCATGACCCAACAACTCATCTCTCAATCTATTGGTTTGTCATACAGCAAGGAGTATGGGCTTGAATTCAGTAACAAACTGAAACTCGCCCTGATGACACAATCCTTCACTTCACCCAACCTGAGCTTTATTTTTCCACAGCAAAAGACACATCACTGACTATCTCTCTGCTATTGTTTCATTCATTGTTTTACAAGTATGATTATTCAAGTTATTTCCCATACCTGGGTATGTGTTTACAGTTGTGGGGTGTGTGTGTGCAGCACAAACATATTATGTCAAGGACTATGTATCATTAGTGCTTTAAAAAGTAATCTCTGATGTTGGAGCACTCACAGAATAAAAGGTAAGAAAGATCAAAAGGCAGCAAGACATCTGGACTAGAAGATATAGTTAAGAAACCATTGCCCCAGACCACAGGGATCAGTGTGTATTGTCCCCAACTTGGACATGTACTCACTGGATCTCTATGAACTTCTCTTTGCTGAACTTAAAGAGGTGATTAGCTTCTCAAATTTATCTGATCATTGAAGTCATCATGAGAGATTTTTGAACCAATAACGGCATCTATTCGAAGAGTTTCTGATTCAGTCGGCCAGTGTTAAAGGGTATAAAAAATCAGTATCTTTAACAATCTCCTCTGGAAATTTTTAAACAGGCAATGGTGCATCTAAGATCTTAGATTTGGAAACACTGGGACTAGGTGATCCTGGATGTTATTTGAGCACAAGGGGTATATGAACAATGAAACCCAAAGAGCCCTAACTTCAGATGTATATTCCCATCTGTTCTCTTATAACTTGAACTGAACTTAAAAAACTGTGGAATAAATAAATGTTATCTATTTGATAAGTTTCTTCCAAGATACTCTTTCCTTTGTGTGTCTCCACTAAAGCCTTAACTATTAAGGAATAGTAGTAATATTGATGGCCTGATGTCCATAGGAAGGTAAAAGGTGACAGATTCAATACTCTCAAAGACCAAGAAACAGAACATATAAAATAATATTCATGTTTCTACCAGTGACTTTATGAACTTATTCCTGTTCAGAAAACTTCCTCAGAGTCAATTATAATCAGAAGAGCTCAGAGAGTCTGCTCTTGGTTCCTTGGAAAGAGGTGGCCAAGAATCACAGCAACTCAGACTCTCTCCAGTTTCAGTAGGGGTGACTCTTGTCAAGGACAAGATCACCAAGATTTGATCCGTGGATAGCATGATCAAGCTGTAGACATAGGGGTCCTGAGGCACCTTCTTGATACTTTGGTGACTCCAGCCTCCAGGTCTCAGGTGACCCTAGATGACATCAGAAGTCTCTTCCAATCCATAAGGCTTGAGGATTCTTGTATAAATTAAAGAAACACCTCAATGTACCAAAAGTGATTTTAGCTTATGCTTTCCAGTTGGTTATACCTGTGTCTTAGTCTAATCTCCCTTATTTCTCCCTAGTATGAGGTCCTGCCTGAGTGGAAATGAGACAGATTTGCATAGTATGCATGACGGAAGAAAACATCAAAATACACTATTAGCATGAGGAACAGTGAGGACTGACAAAAGGCACCCCAAAACACCCATCTCTTTAGCTATGTGCCTTCTCAAATTCATGGCCTTTCACAGACTGGGAGATTTTCCAAATTGCCCATTTACAAAGACTGTCAGTTTGCTTACTCATGAAGACTTTTAAAAAGAGATGATAATTATAGTCATAGAATTACATTTATGGGATTGAAAAAATGTTCATTATCCAGTTTGAAACTTCTAATTACCACCAATAAAGTACTGAGTATTAATTAGAACAATTTCTGGAAGTATAGTTTGAGTAGTAGTTATTGGGAGATAGTTGGTGGGGCCAGTGATGTGAGTTGAAAAGAAGAATCTACCAGAAAGGGAGATGTTTAAGAGCAAGGAAAAGGTTTAATAGTTATGTTCCTATAGGCAGCAGTGGGTCACACAGGCAAGAGGTGCCTGCATGTCCTCCAGGAGGAATGTGCAGATTCTTTTATTGGGGAAGGGGTTGTGAACACAAAGAAGTAGGGGAACAGCCTTCTGATTGGCTGTAAGTGAGGTGAGGGACTGTGATACACGGGAGGATAGTAGATTTACAACTCCAGAATGATGGAGACATGGGCTGACAAATGAAGGTAGCAGAATTTATGATTCTGATAAGGGGGAGACATGAACTGTGACAGGTCAGTCTGAGCTACAGTGAGGCTAGTCATTTCCCATGGAGCTGGAACAAGAAAGAGAATCCAGATACTGTGTAGACAGCCTAGGATTTTCTCAGTAAATTACTGACCAAATGTTGCCCTATAGATGTTTTACAGGTGACAGGTACGAGGTGTCTGAAGAGATGGAAACATCATGGAGGAAGCAAGAGAGAACTGAAACAACCACTGAGGCAGGAGTGTCAGGGACATGATCCACAGGTACAGTGACTGTTTTTTTTTTACCAAAAATTTCAGATCACAATTATTTCATGATTAATAAATATCATTCCTTATTCTTTAAGATAATTCAGTCCCCAGGAAGGTGTAAATTGCTGAATGGATCTCCTCATGCCTTCCAACAATGTGACTGAGTTTGTTCTCTTGGGAATCATGCAGAATCCACACTTGCAGAAAATACTGTTTATTGTCTTTTTGCTCATTTTCTTATTTACCATGTTGGCCAACATGCTCATGGTCATTACCATCTCCCTCAACCTTGCACTTTCAGCTCCCATGTACTTCTTTCTCACCTACTTGTCCTGCATTGATGCCCTCTTCAGCTCTGTCACAACTCCTAAAATGCTCATTGATCTACTGTACCAGAGGGGAACCATCTCCTGGGGTGGCTGCATGACTCAGATTTTTGTGGAACATTTCCTAGGAGGATCAGAGATCATCATCCTGGTTGTCATGGCCTATGACCGTTACATGGCCATCTGCAAGCCTCTTCAGTACATGATCATCATGCAACAGTGGCTCTGCCAGTTCCTGGTGGTGGTGGTGGCCTGGCTTGGGGGGATCCTACATGCCACTGTGCAGTTTGTTTTTGCATTTGACTTGATCTTCTGTTGTCCCAGTGTCATTGACCACTTCAGGTGTGATTTCTTCTCACTGTTGAAACTTGCCTGCAGCGACACCTACAGGCTTGGGGTGGTAGTGGCTGCTAACAGTGGGGGCATGCGCTTACTCATTTTTTTCATGCTACTGATCTCCTACATAGTCATCCTGAGCTCTCTGAAACCCCATGGTTCTGAAGGATGGCACAACGCCCTCTCAACATGTGGCTCCCATTTTACAGTTATGATACTTTTTTTTGTCCCTTGTATATTCACCTACACACATCCTGTCGCCACCTATCCTGTGGACAATTTGGTGACTATGTTCTTTGCAATATTCACTCCTATGTTAAATCCTATCATTTACACAGTAGAAACATTGAGGTGAAAAATGTCATGAGGAATTTGTTGAAGAGGAGAGTAACTTAGGCTGTTCATGATGCTAAGAAAATCATGATTTATATACACATGAGGGTTATACATGTTGTAAATTGTGAAAAAATTAAGAAATTTTGCAGTCACTGACAGAAAAAAATGGCTCAGAGACTAACTTTTGTTGAGTATTTTATTTTGACTAGACATTCATTAGGCATTTTGATGACTTGTAATGCACTTTACCAAAGTTTTAATGT